TGTGAATATGAGAATTCTTGTGAAACTCATATACTCGCTCATGCAAATGAACATACATATCTACTTATATAACAATTACTTGCATTGCGCAAAATACGCAGCAAACAGTAGTCAAATGCCTTTTTTTAGTTTTTCATGTACAAAGTGGTGATTAAATTACATTTATTACATTTGGTACAGCTCAGCATAAATTTTGCATAGTTTTGCATTCGCAGAGATAAGTGGAAATAAAAGGTTTTGTAAGAGAATAAGAAACTGAAAAGCGACAGAACAACATTCTAATCTCGCGAGACTGACTGAGTGCTTGCCCATGCAGAAATTCAACACCACAGACGGACATTTTAGCCGTTTTTCTGCTGTACTTTGGTTTTGCAATTAAAAATTTTGGATTTTGTTGTTGTGATATCCAAGAGCCTAGAAATAGAACGGTTCCACCGTAATATACGCCTCCAAACCCGCAAAAAGAACTTGCAGCACCGTCTGGGCACTTTAAGCATATTTGCCTCCCTTTGCCGCGCCTACTTTGAGCGAATTATTTCGTATCGGTTTGATATCGGTTTAAGATTTAGTTTACAAGTTTTGCAACAACGGTAATGACAGTGAATGTCTTGGTTAACGTAATTTCCTTAGTAGTTTCTCATACAAAGACTGATTAAGTTTTATGCAAATAAATATGCTAATTAAATATATATATGTATATATGTATAGTCTAACAGTGAAATATACAACCAAATATATGTACGCAACAAGAAATCGCCAAATCAATTCGCACTGAAATTAATTGAATTGACGCCAACATCGGCAACGCCAACATCGGCAACGCCAACCAAAGCAGTTACTTATTGGTAACCTTTCCGGTTTGCACGCAGGCGCAGAAAAAGTTTTGATGGAATTATAAAAGAGTTGACTAAAATTAAAATGGAGCTGCCATTGAAGAAACTCAAAAACAATAATTTGAAGTAAAGATTCAAATTTTAACTTGGGCGAACTCATTTCTCCTTTGAAAGAAATTGGTGCAGTACCCGCTGGTGGCAAATCTGGTGAAAAAGAATTTTTTTGTAAAATGCAAAATTCTGCGGGAATCTTTTTCTAAGGACTTATGACCCAAAATCCCAAATCGGAAAAGTCGGTCGTATATATGTTGCTAATGATCGTTCAAATATACATTGTATACCAAGTTTGGTTGAAATATCTCAAAAATTGAGGGACTAGATATATTGGAATGGGGTGACTACCGATCTATCGTGTCGATTACACTTAGGCCCGACTAACACCTATTGCGATGCCACCATTTCGATTCTAGAATAAACCTTATTGGATCCATGATTTTGACGTTGGCTATCTTTGGTAGATCATCAAGTAGTAAGGAAATTCCGAAACCTACCACCCTTGCTGATTTTGCAGCATCTTTTGTAGAAAGCCCCTATCCACATGTCGTCTTATCAGTCAGGGGCATCCCTGACTTTGACCATGCCCTTAATTTTAAGGAGTGCATACGGGTATCCTGAGATCTCTTCTTTTCCCTTTTCGACCAGGTGCACCTGGATTTATGGCAGGTTCTAGTTTCATTCCATCTCGGCACGACTTGTTCATAAAAAATTCCTAACAAGAAGCTTGCGCACGCAAAAGGCATTCCAATTTCTTTACCGAAAAGAAACTGCTTGGTTTCGTCCATAAATTTACAGGTTTTCAAATGGGAAATGACAATATTCTTATTTCTACCTGCTGAGAACTCGTGTTCTGAGGAATTTATCAATTAACATATATTAACATCGAGTATGCAAACAGTTGAGTGATCCATTGATTTGACTCTATTAAACGAACGACGGATATACCACCAAGTCCGGTGAAAAGATATTAGGTTTTTCGTGCGTGCTCCTCATCGCACCACTGATACACATTAGCACAGACCTTCGAACCTTATCTCTGAAATTAATATGAATATTTTTTTATAGCTGACCACTACACAATCGTTCCTTGAAGGAGCGTAGATCATCTTGCCTAATGATAGAGCGAAAAAGAGACAGCCAGACTAACATTGCTGAAACATATCGGCTCTTCACCCTGGTCATATCGGAAAAACAATTTAATGGGTCTATCTGTTCTCCTTCTGGGGTTTTCATGTACATGAAAGGCACAAAAAAAAAGAAAAAAAGACCTTCGACTTGTTGTGCTTTTCAAAGAAAGGATTAAAATAATTTCAACTGCCAAGTTCGAGACGCCACGGCAAACAAAAATTCAAGACAATAGGTCCTCAAGTCCGATTAGGGAATTAGCGGGTTTTCCTGACTGCCTCTTTGAACTGCGAAGACTGATTAATGCCAACGTTGATGTGAGGTGAAACCAAAAATATTGGAAATTGTAAAATTTCACTTTGAAGCATAACAAAGGCAGATATTCCTACGTATGTTTATATGTAAAAATCTACACTTTTATTTATCCTTATCACCCATTGGACGTAAATAATAGCCACCTAGTTGAGATCCGTCGCAGCAGCATAAAAACACGCACGCATAACAATGGCACTTTACGACGATTTGCTGCAACTGCTGCTGCAAAAAAGTGTTTGTGAACAACAAACAATTGTTGTAGCAGTAAAAGTGGAGTACTGAAATATATGCAAGCACATAAGTAGGTGCATATGTATCAAGCTCTGCGAAATAAATGCGATAAGCGAAACTTGTCTTTGAAAAACTTCATCGATTACACTGTCGCCGTCGTCATCATCCAATTAAATGCAAATTTCTTTAAAATCGAAACCACTGCTCGCCGCGCTAGCTACATACTCGTATGTAGTCAATGGCAAAGCAGATGCCAAGCTGCAGGCACGTTACACTGGCAATTTGTATTTGTTATTGTTGTGCACACACAAGGTAACGGGTACTGCCAGGGCAGCAGAGCACAGCGTGCCCGCTGGCGACAGTGGAACCAATAAAAGCCACCCACCACGTTCAAGCAACACCAAGCTCTGCCGCACACGGCGAACTCTGCGCTCTTTCTTTGTCATGCCTGCAGGCAGCACTTGTTGCTTTCAGATTGTCAGTCGTCTTGGCTAACGATATTGTCACAGTTGCAGCATTTCCCATGCTGACGATGACGGTTCGAAGGCCTAGATATGCTCATATGCATACGCGACTTTAGCCATTCCACTGTGGCGCTTGGCTGGTCGGTGGTGGACGCCAGAGTGCCGGTTGAGGCGTAAAAATCAAATTTATGCCTTTCTTAATTCAAATGGAGCGACTTCGTTGCGGAGGCGTTCGTGGACACATAAACACATATATGTTTGTACGAGAGAGAGAGAAAATAAAAAGCAAAGTCAAATAAAAAATGTCAAAATGATTTTGTTTTGACAAATCAATTCGTATTTTTATTTGCTTTTTTTTATAAAAAAAAATGTATCGATTTTGCTTCCACTTTTTATTAAATACACTAACCTCATACACGTACATATGTACATACATTTATGCTTAAGTACATATAAACATCTGGGAAACCCATCTATCACTTTGCAGCATTTCCCATTTCGATTTCAACCCACCTCACCGCGTCGCCACCGACCTTCCACACGCTCGCGAATAAATAAAACAATTTTCTTCCGTTGCTGCCTCTTGGGGCTATGATATATGAGCTCGCTTGCACTCTATTGAATGCATATTCACCATTCCCATCGCCATCAACATCACCGTCACCGTCGCCGTCGACGTCGATGCCTATGCGGCGGCAATGGCATCGCGAGATGAAAGCAAAAGTCAGAGACATAAATTTTATAAAGTTGCACTGCTGACAAGCGACGCACGCACATATTTACATCAATAAAATTCATTGGTTGGAAGACTTAAAAGACTCAACAACTCAACGAAGAAAATAAAAACTGTCAGTTGATGATAAAAAGAATTTAATGCGTTTGCAATGTGTTTTCAAATTAGCCAAAATGTTTTGAATATTTTCAAATCTAAATATTTGAAAAATGGGGTCATTTATTTCCTCCGTAATAATTGTTTTCTCCTCTTAAATGAAATCGAAAGTTCATAAATAGCAACGGGGCAGTGCAAAAAACTTAGCCTGTCGCCACCCTTCAACTTCGCCAGACAATTCAGCATCTCAGATTTTCAAAGGCACCCGTTTGGCTTAGGCTAAGTAAAAGTAGATTTATCGTCTTGAAGAATTTGCTTTATCTCAAAATCGCCCCAAGGTATCTCCTTGGATCAAGCCTTTTTACTTTATATTAACTGTAGTACTGATTTTTAAAGGGAACTCATTGGATTACTAAGAAACAATGCTTTGGATTTCTACTATTCACTTGAAAATTTATATATACAGGGTTATTTACTTTCAGTTTCCAAAAAAACATAAATCATTTTTTCATGAAATGGGACCTTGCTTGGCCCATGAAAGGTAAAATACCACATAATTCAAATGATCGCCTCATTAATTTTTGCAAGCTGCGATCCGTTCGAGGCATTTTTTGACCACTTTTTGGTACATATTTGACGGCATTTCAGCCATCACTTGACGGGTGCTGGTTTTCAAGTCTTCAAGACGGTGCCAAATCGCATGATATCGGTGGCTAATTGGACCACATATTGTATAAGTCGTGTTCCTCATTTTCACGCCGAAAAAAGTCGATTATCATACGAACGCAACACTCCGAATTGACAATGGCAGTATCGCCGTTGCCGTTTTCAAGGAGGAAAGTCAAATCGCACCTCTGGACCAAAGAGACAAGCAGACAGTTAATGTTTTTGAGTGTAATAGTCATAAGTATTTGAGGATCGTCCGAGCTTCTTTCTTTAAAACTTTACCAGTTGCTGGAGTAGTTGGACAAATATGTGTATTTCCCTTTCGGTTGAACGAGAACTTCCCTTTTTATTCGACGAACATGCAGCCACAACTTTTTTCATTAAAACTCAAAATAAAAAAATTTTCACAAAGTTTTTTTCATTTATATTAAAAAAAATATTTATTGAAATATTAAATAACTCCTTTTCTACGTTTTTCAGATCACGTCTACAAGACTTTCGCTTGACATAAAAAAGTGAGTAAAATCTTTGTTGCACTTCTTAATGTTGGGAAAATATACGTAGAAGAAGAGAGTACTACTCTAATACAATATCCAAGTATAGCAGTTATTAATTTTCGTAATAATCAAAATTTCACACTTTAGAGGGCTTGGAAGCCAAGAAACCAGGCCAAGCGACGATCGCTGGGTGGTAACTTAATAGCTTCAAGACTTCTTAATTTCTCCAGAGTCTACTGACAGTTAATTATCTACGCATGGAAAATAAACACGAGTACATACTACGTGTATGTATGTGTTTTGTATATTCAAGTAGACGAACACATCTTAATTGTTGTGAGGAAACATGGAAATCCGCTCATTTCCGTAACCGTGCGTCCGGGCACAAGTGCGGCTATAAAAAAGTTGAAAGAGTTGCCATACATCGAATTCTTATTCTTTGTGTTTGGTTTTTTATTACAAGTGAAAACACTGAAATTCGAAAATTCTTTGCCCCACCACAATAATTATGTATTCAAATTAAAAGCACATTAAAAGAAGACACACTCACACCAAAACTCAAGCAGACGAGGAAAATTCATGATGTTTCAAATTGCTGACTTTATCTGCCATCATTCGGCGAGAACGATGTAAGCGCAAAAGAAAGAAGAAGCAGAATAAGAAGCCCAAGAAAATTGCCAACTTTGGCTATGAATTACAGCCACGTCCGTTCATCCACCCATCCGGCCATGACTTGGAGAGTGGGGTCAGTGTGCTAAGATAAAATTTTAATGTTTTTTTTCTCCTCAAAATAGCTTCTAGTTTGTGGATATGTACATATGTATACACATGTATGTGCAAGCCTTCTTTAGGTGCGGGTTAAAGCCAACAAAGCAGCAGCTACAACATTTGCAGTTTCTTTTCTTATTAAATGTCTTTCTTTCCACTGCTTGAGAGCTTTTTATGATTATTATTACATAATTGCCGAGGCAATTAATTTTTCCCGTATTCACACATGATGGGCAACCACTTTTGTACATTTCAGAAATTTATTATTACAAAATTGCTTAGTTATTATATAATAATGCAAAATAAACTTAACAAATTTCTATGTTTGCCACTCATTGGGTAGAAACCCTTATGATTTGCTCTTAAAACAGCCATGGACCCAGGAAATGGCACTTTGTGGTGAATTTCGGAAATCTTCGCATTTTCAATTCAACAAGTCTGGGCATATATAGTATAAAGAGATTGAATTGGTTGATTGATCGGTTAATTTAGGTCGAGCAAAATTGAGACAACTGGGTGAATGACCTTGAAAGCGGATTGAAATAAGCTGCTTGCCTAAGACTAAGACTAGACGTATACCCACGGCAACACACGCAAAACAATCAAAAAGAAAATGGAGCCCAAGAGTGCAGTCCTGTTAATTTATACAGAAACCCATTGGGCATGTTTTGCGTTAACAACTGCAGCGAAGGTCGCTGCGGATGAAAAACTCATAAAGATTTTGACAAGGGTCAAAGATGCTGACGATGGGTGTTCATACACACTTATGTATACATATGTATTTTTCCATTGAATGCCAATTTCCAAGGAAATAAGTATTTTATAAAAAGAAAATTTAATCTAAATGTAAAAAAATTAACATCTCCCGACCGCCTTTGATACCAACTGAAAGCACAACCCTTACAAGTTCCTCTGGCGCGTAAGAAATGCCTGCAAAGCATTTTTAAATGAAAGACTCCTTGAGAAATTAAAAGTGGACATAAAATTGCTATTGCCACTTTTATCAAAATATCTTCCGTAATTGACCAAAATATCACCTCTATTCTCCATAAAGCGTAGCTTCCGTCTGAATGAGTTATGAGTTTATAAAAATGAGTATTATAAAATTTTTTTTAATAATTTTTAACGAAAATTCACTGTTTTCCTTGGTATTCCGAGAAAGGTGCCTTTGACGCCAACCAACCAACAGAGGAAAGTAGTCAACACTGTAAATACGGGTATTTAGCTTTTTGGTGGCAAGTGGCGGTGCACAATGAATGCAGCCAATGCAACCAATGTCAGCTTGTTTAGGTGACACACCAAAGCCAATTTCACATTAACTCACACAGCTGCTCTAACGGTGTGAATCATTAAAAGTTTTCATTCACTTTTAAAATTCAAAATTATGCATTTGTTGTTGTTGATATTGTTGTGGTTGATCACTAAATGTGCGCCTATGAAAAATGCATGAGGCTGTTAAGTGCGTGACCAAAAACGGCGAATAAATAATAACTAACACTCGCTAAATGGCAGTCATAAAAATGGCGTAGCAAAAAAAAAACACAAAGAAGAAGAAGAGAAACAATAAATATACAATAAAAAATGCAGTTGAAACAATTAAAAATTAAAATTGCATTGACTACTCGATTGGCTTTGGCCGCGCTTGGGAATTGTTGACATTGTTATTGTTGTTGGTTATTGCTACATAACTGATGCTGCCACTGCATTGCTTCGTTCGCTGTTTGTTGTTGTCCTTGCTGTGTACTCTGCTATTATTATTGTTGTTGTTGTTGCTGCTGCTGCTGCTGTTAATCAACTACTCACTTTGATGGTCAAAAAGTCCATTTTTATAATTTCCATAAATGTTTTAGCAAGAGTTGCCTGTCATACAAACATACGTGTACGTACGTATGGATATGCAAACAAGGCAGCTGTTAAATTTTTTAATGAAACATTTGGCAAAATATTAAATAAACGCACTTTAACCATTTTCGCTGCTTAGACTTTCAATTCATTTTCCTTCTTTGAATTTCTCCTCTTATTTTTATGTAGTATTTATGTGCATAATATTCTCTTCAAAAGGCTCGGGTTCAAATCCTGGTACGACCAACATCCAAAAGTTATGAGAAATTAATTTAAATAAAAAATTAAGTAAAATTTTCTAATTGCGGTCGTTCGTTTAATTTGTCGAGGCTAGTTCGGAGGCGGCTTAGTATAAACTGTAGGTCCCTCCATTTGTTGGAAAAACATCAAGACGGAAAACTACAAACTGGAGGCGAAACTCGCCCGAAAATCGCTTCAACGGTTACAAAGCGCAAATTACATATATATATATATATATATATATATAAATATTTCGATTTACAATATCTTCGATTAATAAAAACTTAACCTAAAATTAAGATAAATGAATTTTTTATAATTAAAGAAGATTCTCTTAAGCCATTTACTCGCGAGGTAGAATCATACATAAGTACATAACAGAGCCTAGTAGAGTTTGCCACCAAGTGTTTCACAAACGCAAGTGTACAATATCCACACACATACATACCGACATATGCATGTTCGTATTTGATTTTTGATTGAGGTGTGACAAAAATATTTACTTATTCTAATTAGCGGATGCTTTGACGGCGAGCCAACAACAAACAAACATGGCACAGATATGCTGAAAATACATACATTTATACAATCCGCATTTACTAGGGTGAGTTCATAGGTAAGGAAAATTTAAAATCAAGTGAAAAAATCCGGCTTTCATTGCTCAACTGCTGCTTTGGTGAATATCACTAGCCTGCGCGAAACGAATTTGGCTTACTCGTATCAAGCTTTTGATATTGCTTTCTATCTGAACGTTGTAGCCAACCCTAATGTTTGAATGTGCATATGTACTTTGCCTCTCTGTTTTTCAGTATCTGCACACATGTCAGGTGGTCTCTGTTTGATTAGTTAAGTGCTCTTCTGTTGATTTTAATCAATGCCAACTTGCACAGTCAGCTCAATATAAGACAAACAGTTTGGAATGTCAATTAAGACAGAACTAGAAAATGTCTTGCAGACACTTCTTGACGTCTGTAATCAAACTTAAATATAAGTGACGGTTGAAATTCGACAACTGGCTGTGATTTTATTCTTTTTCATCATTCGCGAAGTATTACCCAATTGTAACCGAATCAACAACAGCGCGCCGGTCGTTCTTTCTCTTCGTTGTAACTCGTTCAGTTTATCAGAACTGAGTGATTCTGCGTTGGATTTCAAAGCTGGCATTGTTGTTGGCATTGTAATAGGTTCCTACATAAGTTTCCTCGAAGTTGTAACGTTGGGGTCTAGATGCAAGTGTGACGACTGTTTAATGACAGGAGATATTTCGCCTTGATCTCGATCGAGTCTGGAAAAAGTGGAACTAACGGCGCGGTTTTAAGGCAATAATATCAGCGTCATCAGAATACTCCAGAAGTTGTGTACTCTACTGTATTCTTATTATTTTCTCTAGCACCAAGTTGAAGAAATCGCCCGATGCCGATTGGGGTTTCAGGCTAGCCATCTCCGGGTTTGCCCTTTCATTGCCATTTAGCAGTCTGCAGAAGTGTGACTGATATGCAAAATACCTAATATCTTTATAATATGTACGCATTCATGTATGTAGATTTTAGGTTAAATTTTGCATTAAAAATCAGCAACAGCGCACGAAGATATATAAAAACCTCAAGCAGATTATCTTGCCGGCTGTGCAGTAACAATCACATTAATAGCTGGCCAAAAGGCTCCAACTGAGCTAGAAAAATCTTCATTCATTAGTTTCTTTGTTCAGAGCTAATGCTAATGCTTCTATATTTAAAAAAACTTGTATTTCTTATTACGCAATTTTATTATTTTTTTTTTTTTTTGTTTGCTGCCCGAAATTTGAATATTTCATAAAAATATATAAAAAACTATCATAAACGTTTCCTTTTTTCTCTTAACCTCATTCTCCAATTTGTGATTCTAACTCATTCCGGGCTCGTGTGACATACATATTAGCTGCTACCTTATCCGAAGTTGCAGCGATTCTGCCCTAATTGAACTGAGGAATTACTCTTGGAGTCAGCAGAATACTTCAGCGACGTGTTGTAAATACTGTTCAATGAAAGCACTGGTGACGATGTCGGTATGGAAGCCGGATGAGGTGAATTGTAATCTGAGATACTAAAGGACGTACATTTGAATTTCCGTGGTTTTCCTTGCGTCCACGATGCCAATAACCTTGGCGTCTGTGATGGTTCGATTGCCCA